GTACATCTTGCAGCCGTTATATATAATGGAGTCCTTAACTAGAGTGGAATATGGTAAAGGTAGTTTGATATGGTCACTTTGGCGGGTGGCATATCTACTATCTGTAATGAAATTTTGTTTATGTTTATAAATGAGACACACTGTTTCAAGTATAAATATACACACTACCGTGAGAAGGTTATGTTGCTTGAAGTGAACTCTACACGAATCGCGAAATTTTAATTTACAGAGGTATCTCAGGGCTCTTTTTTGTAAAACAAAAACACTTTGAAGAACATTTCCACTGCACACTCCCCAGAATGGGATACCATATCGCAAATGTGACTCTATCATGGAGTAGTATACCTACTGACTTTGCGATTGTGTAACCTAGTTCGTTTGCAGCAATTTTTACAGCGTATATGTTTTATAGGAAGAGTTTACAGTGTCACTTTTAATGTATATTGAGACAATCACCTGTATGTCGACTTTTTGAGTCACATCGTACTATATTGTAATTGGGAATATTCAGTTTACTTTGTTCGATATCTTTGGTTATTCTGGATTCACTTAGTAACATAATTTTTGGTTTGTAGCAAACTATACTTTCTTGTTATTGATCTTTGTTTTTAAGAAGACTTTGAATATTCAGGTATACGAGTATAATGTCTGTGTTTAATTGTGTAATAGAATAATTTTCCACTTATTTGAAGGATTATTCAAAGTTTTATTGACAATCATGGGTTTATTACTGATATATCTTATGGTTTTTGAGTTATCACCATTATCAATCAGGTTTTGTAATTCTGATTTTAACTTTCGATAGTATTCTCGCTGAGCTTTAGTCTGATCTCTGAGATTTTTATACTTGGAACTGAGGAAATATTTGGCATAGTCTGGCGATTGAAGTATCACTTTGATAGGACGGGTTCTGTTTGCTAATGCTTTCCCTAATCTGGATAGTTTCAAATTATTTTTATTTACATTAAAATTTTCAAGAACTTTTTTAACAGCTTCTGTATCTTGTGAGATTCTTTCAGCCTGAGTTTTTAATTGTAATTCATTATGTTGAACATGATGAGGTTTGAGGCACGATTTTGTCGCTCGAGCATTTTATAAATCACTTTTTTTTATCTATTTCACCAACGTTATTCTGAGGCATAGGTGGCTTGGCCATTTTCATTTCTTCAACTTCCTTTCTAAGATTGGAAAGAGCTTTAATAAGAGCTGGAACTTGACGAAGACCAGATTTACATTCTACACAAAGAAACAGTAGAGATCTCCTTTTCAACTGCATACATTTCAATTTGCTGGAGCATAATTCCGAGCAAGCTGAACACATCTGTTTGCCATGTTCAAAGTAAAAAAAATCAGAGAAAAACTACAGATAAAATATAGACAAATAGCTGATACACAGATAAGGAGACGTTGCTTTTTTGTTGAATAGGTGTTTTTGTTGTTTTCTATAACGTGACTCTCAAAACTTACAATCTTTAGAGCGTTATTATTCACTATCCACGTGGATTGTTGTATTTATATGTAGCGCAGTTAATTTTCATTTCTTCAACTTCCTTTCTAAGATTGGAAAGAGCTTTAATAAGAGCTGGAACTTGACGAAGACCAGATTTACATTCTACACAAAGAAACTGTAGTGATCTCCTTTTCAACTGCATACATTTCAATTTGCTGGGGCATAATTCCGAGCAAGCTGAAGTGGTATGAGAGGGTGTCCTCCATGCCACATTCAACAAATGATTCATTTTCTTCAAAATCCACTTTGCTTTCGAAACATCTGTTTGCCATGTTCAAAGTAAAAAAAATCAGAGAAAAACTACAGATAAAATACAGACAAATAGCTGATACACAGATAAGGAGACGTTGCTTTTTTGTTGAATAGGTGTTTTTGTTGTTTTCTATAACGTGACTCTCAAAACTTTCAATTATTCACTATCCACGTGGATTGTTGTATTTATATGTAGCGCAGTTAAACAAAGCGCTTCACTAACTTCACTTTGATACTAGTTTCAAAGACACTAGACTGTAGGGTGATGTCTGAGAAAACTCAAAAGTTCGCCATGCTGCTATCTTTAGAACAGTAAATTCAACTCAAAGACGATACCTTCCGATTCTGCGATATTCCTTGGAAGAAACTCCATCATGCCTAAATATGCATAATTGTATCTGGTTTTCGAGAGTAGAGTCAAATGGAATTGCTTGCAATAAGTGGACAGAAAAATTAAAAAAAAATGTAAAAATGGAGAAATCTAATCAAATAATTTTAATTTCAGGTGGATCTGGACCACCTTTAGTTGGGGGTATTACTGAAACATCTCCAAACGACCCACAAGTGAAAGAATATTTGAATGATGGACTTGTTCATCTGGACAGCCAATCATCACACAGAAACAGATACAAAATCCAAGATATACTTAGTGCTTCCTCACAGGTAAGATATCCTTGTATTTGTACAAAGAAAACGTATCAACAATAATGTGATATTTGTAAACATTTTCTCAATCAATACATTCATTATAAGTAAGCTTAAATAACACATAAACAGACGAAAAAAGAACAACTTATCCAGCTAATGCTGCGCAGAAAGCTAAAGTAGAACCGTCAGGCACCTGTCCAACATTTTCAGCTTGTTGTGGCAGCTATTCCGTCTACCTGACCGGGTACCTGAGTTATTTTCAGGTATCTTTCGTGACAACAATGTCCTCCATGTTTGTGGTAGTCTCTGCGAATCATCTCGCTTGTTAAGGCAGTTGGGACGTTTTTCAATTTCTATTGCTTTCCGAATTATCCTGGCCTGAAGATTTTTCTCTGTAGCAACGGTCTTGGTGTTTTCGAAGCTTATTGTGTGACCTGTTTCCTGGTGGTGTTTGAAGAGAGATGATGCTGGATCTGATTTGCGAACAGCTAATTCATGTTCATAGGCTCTGTTGGAAATTCTTCTATTGGTCTGGACGATGTAAGTTCTGGAAAAGTTAGAACATGATATTTCGTATATGCCTGTGCTTCATTGCGTATCGTGTTCTAGGGTGTTCTTAATAATAATAATAATAAATTGTCTTTATACTGGCGGAGTTTAGCTTATGCTACTCTTCCACTCAACATAGTGGAGATTTGGTTGTTGGCTGTGAATACTGCCTTTACGTTATGTTTCTTCAGAATTCAGCTCACTTTGTCAGTAACTCCATGGATGTAGCTTTTCCCATTATATATTCCAGAGAGGTGCGTATGACATGCTCCAGTTTCAGGTGAATACACCTTAACCCTTGCCTCTCATGTCGATACGACCAACCGGTCATGTCGATACGACCGGTTTCGGGGTACTTGTCCCATCATCAGTACCGGGCATGCTCTCTTCAAAACGGTGTGAACCGTCTGAGTATCACGACCAAACAAATATAATTCCAGCTAGTCATGAACTCTTTCTGCAGTTAATTCAGTGGGGTATCCACTGCGCCACCTGCAGACAGAGCCAGGAAACAACTCCACAAACATACTTCTGGGTGGGAGTCGGAATAATGGGAGATTGATTTGATTTTTTGACAAATACTTTAGATTCGCTTTTTTCGCTTCAGTACCCCACAAAAGAATTGCATATGTTGCTACACTATGAAAATTTGCATAATAGGCTGTTTTAGCTGGTTAGTGTGTCGAAATTGTTTTCACTGTCCTTATACAATATATTGCCGAATTAAGCTTCTTACTCAAATTACTTATTTGTCCTTCCATTCTAGTTTCAAGTTCATATGCGTTACAAGAAATTTCAGTGACTTTTTATCTATATTGGTCTTGTTTGGCAGTGTGAGCCTTTGTATTTTTATTTTTTCAGCAAGAGTATATTTTCAATAAACCAAATATCTGTTCAGCTAGAGCTTGCTCTGACTTTTGTCTTGAATCACTTTCATCTTTAGCTTTCACTAGAAAGGTTGTGTCATCGTATGCACTTGCTTCATAAACCCTGATATTTTTGAGCAGGTCGTTTGTGTAGAAGCAAACAAAATTGTTCCTAAAATAGAACCTTGAGGTACTTCTTAAGTTACTAGAAGTTTCTGATGAAATTTCCACCGCGTCATTTGAAGATGATTTGACATGTATTCAAAAAACCCACTTTAATGTGAAATTTCTGCTTGAAAGTTTAGAAAACCGCCACACGTGTTTCGCTATATGATAGCATCTTCAGGCGTCACAATACTGTTTGTTCAAATTCTGTTTGTACAAATTCTGTGTCATGCTTTTATAGTAATTTGAATCATAATGATCATTACTACCCGTGAATTTCCAACAATTGAGATTTTTATTTCTCCACAGGTAGTCTCGGGATCATTGTGGCGGGTGAAAGCTAAACTTGTTCTTTCCAATTGCATAAAAGGCGATAACACCGAAATTGAAAAGTGTGGAAAACTTCAAGGTGCAGAAAGCAAGATCTGCGATTTCGTAATTTGGGATCAACCTTGGCTGGAAAATGGTAGGAAGACGAACATAACTTGCGACGATGAAGACAAATCTTACTATTTCGTTAGAGGAAAAAGAAGTATTCAAGGTAATCAATAAATAATTTACTTATTATAGAAATTCATTCTGAATATTAGGAAGACGTTTTAGTATGTTAAATGGTAGACATCTGATTTTGCAGGGCAGCGTCATATGTAAAAACCCAAACAAAATACAATGCAAATACAACGAGAAATTAAAAATTTTTACTGAGTTACCACGGGAATAACCTAATTGAATAATTTCAATTTCAGATGAATCTGAACCACCTTTAGTTGGAGGTATTACTGAAGAATCTGGAGTTAATTCAGAAGTGAAAGAATTTTTAAAAGAAGGACTTCTCCATCTTGACGGCCAATCTTCACACAGAAACAGATACAAAATTCAAGATATTCTGAGTGTTTCCTCACAGGTAGAGTTCGTTGATAAAAAACTTGGCAAGTTGACTTGGGTGTCACACCAATAGGTGGTTCCACTTATGTTTCACTTGCATTTACGCAGCTATTTTTATCAAGAGGACCGCCTGCCTGTACAGACGATGCCCAATAGATGAGTGGGAAAGTAGGGATTCAAATAACAGAGTGATGATTGAAAATACTTCTGAAAACTACTTACTCGCACTTGAATCGGTGTGAACCACAATGCGGTGTAGAGTCGAATAGACACACTCACTTGTGAACTAACCTAACTACTTACTCACATATATATACAATTGATTGCTTCAAAAACACTTCACTAACTTTCTTCGAAAGATTCTGATAATTCCTCTTCCATATTCTCTGTTTCACTATCAATAATGAATTTATTTCCAACCTCCATATAGTCTTTTTCAATTAAAATTACTTTTTTGATCCTTTTCTGTCAGTCTTCTTCGGTATCACCTAGCTCTATCACCTTTTTATCAAATTTTGGAAAATTATTTTTACGCCTGATGCTTTGTTTCAATTTTCCCCAAATCAACTCGATGGGATTGAAAACACAAAATAGGGGGGAAGTCTCAATATGGTGTGTCCATACTTTTCAGCAATACTGTCAAGAGCACACAATTTTTCACATGTTTTTGTCTGTGAAACTTCAAGTAGTTGGTTTTTGGTATAGTCATCTTCAAAATACAAATTGTTATCCATTAAAAAACTTTGTATTTCATCTTTCCTCGAATTTTTATTCGGTACTTTGATGAGCTGTCGCGAATGATAGGAAGCGTTGTCAAGAACTATTACACTATTCGCATTCAAATTTGGGACCAATGTGTTTTCAAACCATTCCTCAAAAATATTAGCTTCCATGTTCTTATGATAGTCAACATTGCAGTCCTCAAGTTTTCTTCTACATAATTTCCAAGAATTCGGAACCCATCCTTTGCTTCTTCCGCAATGCACAATGATTAGTCGTGATCCTTTGTTTGCAGGCATGTTAGGCGTACACATTCTCGAATCATCAGTCCATCCTTTCGTAATTGTGTCTTGAGTGTCATACCAAGTTTCTTCCAAATAGAAAATTTGCCGTTGATCTTGTCTGTATTTAGTTATTCGTTCTAAGTATTTGTTACGCAATTCCACTATTCTTCTGCTTTCCATAACTGCTTGACGTTTGTTTATTATTTTAAATCTAAATCCTAGTTTCTTATCCAATTCTGAAGAGTTTTGTCACAGCAGCTCACGTTATGGCCGGAAGTATTCAATTTCTTCCTTATGATTTCGATTGTAGGAATCTCATTGCTTTTGTAACAGTCGTATATTGTTTTTTTTTAATGATTTTATTAGATGAACATCTAAAGGTTTTGGTAATCCCGCATCACATCGCATCTTGTGTTCATAAGGTTTGTTTTTGACTATTTTACGTACAGTTGAGAAAGGAATTCCGGTCAAATCTGATGTTGCTTGTAATAGTTTTTTTCCCTCGAAACCAAACTTGATATATAGATTCTTATATACATTGAAACATACTCTCTGTGTTTCAATATTCAAATGCATCCGAATCTTATTCACTGGTATCTCTTTTTCGCTTTGTTCACCAGCGCTATTGGAATCACTACACAGCAAAAAGTCTGCGTTGTCATCACACTCGTTATTACTATCAGTACTTGTCCAAGGACGCCACATTTTAAACAAATAACAAAAATTTTAAGTAATTATAACTTCACCAATATCGAATTTCAACACTCAAATCGCGATCACTTCCTGAACTGAACATTGACGACACAACGGCGGTACTCATCGCTACATTCTATTGGTCACTGTAACATGACTTCAAATTTAATTTTATGACTCTTCAGCCATTCATAAAACTCGGTTAGTAAAAATTATCCAAAACGAACCGCCAGTTCTTCAGTCCACGTGGACTAATTGGTAGCGGCATTATTTCTTTGTATTGGTTTTTTGGCCTTTGCCGATAGCTTTAAGAATTACTATATCAGTTTCTTCGACTATACCATTAGTAATTACTGCTGTACAGACACAAGAGGAACTTGCAAAAATTGAATAAAATATTACACGGCTCAAAACAATTAAAGGATCACTATTTTGTAATGGTTGTGTACAAGAATAAGTTTTATGATAAATATAATAATGTGACGTTTGGTAGTGGACAACTTTGATAAGAAACAGAGGTTGTTTTTGTCTCGTGGCTTTGGATTAGTATAGATTTTTTTAACATACCGAAACAGGAATGGAAAAGAGTGTGATTCCAAATACTAATTAGTTATAATTCGAATTTACAAGGTGCAGTTTACTCATTTTCTGTTTGGTACCCCCTGTTTACGTATCATGGCAGATGATTGAAGATTTTTTTCTGACAATTTGTCACTAGGGCTGTTACATGAATTGTAGAAGGTGTTTCTCAACGTCAGTTGAGTCAAAGTCAGTGGTTTCATGACTTTGTAACCGCTACCAACAACTAGAGACTGTCCATAGGGGACCAGGTCAAGTGCGGCGAAGGTTCACTTCAGCCCAACAGGACAGGTATTCACGTCTAAGTGCCTTCAGACGCAGATTTTCAACAGCCAGGGAGCTACAAAATGAGCTAAGTCGAGCAATGGGGACCCAAATTTCCGAACAGAGTGTGAGAAATTGACTTTGGAAAAGCGGATTGAGATCTAAACAACCAGTCCAGGTGCCTCGGCTTACACCAAGTCGCAAAAGAGAAAGAATGTAGTTTGATTGGACACACAGACGTTGGCTTACAATACTCTTTTCTGATGAGTCTAAATTTATTTTTTTTGGTAATGATGATCCGGCCAGAGTATAAAGAAGAAGAAATCAACGTTTTACTCCCTGGTGTTTATCTTCAACGGCCCCTTTTGGAGGTGGACCAATAATGGTGTGGGGTGGAATTACATCTATGCTTAAATACTTTTTTTTTATTTACTTTATTTGAAGTCGCATCAACCTCCAGGGTTATTAGCAGTGGTATTATATAAGGTATAGCAGTGGTAGTTGCAGTGGTATTATATAAGGTTGAACAAGTTGACATTTTCTAAAAACTTTACAATATTTTCAATATTACACTTAGGTCCTAATTAGAATTAGACTTTATTTATTCATCACTGAAGAATTTACATATACATACAAGAGAATACATATATACATGCAAAACACTTATCGGACTAGTCACAAGGCAATAAAGAAAATTCAGAAATATACAATTTAAAATATAAAAAATATACATACAGTTAGATTAAAATTCTCTACAATGTAGCGTCTAAAAACTTTTCAATGGAGTAAAATGATTGATTTATTAGATAACGAGTCAGATTATCCTTCAACACATTTGTACTCGCTGAGTCTAGTGCGGGAATATATTCATAAGTCGGTTATAGCACCTGATTTCTTGGTATATGTGAGAATCCTGACCAATGCTCAATCTTGAGTATGGCTGGTGGATGCGTTGTTAATTGAAGGCAGGATGCCATAAGTTAGTCTTTTGTTGGAATATAGCACACATTTTGTTCTTTGGTCTACAGTTACGTGAGAGTCGCACATTTGACACATAAGGCTGGTGTCGCCGGCAATGAGGTACCCATGGATGAGTGAACTGAGAACTGTATTTTTTTATTTGTTTTAATTTGAAACAAACTAGGGGTTATTCTATGTTAGTAATTCCTCTATTCTCGTCAGCATTTTTGACAGGAGAAGACAGCCCCCAGATTACTGACTAATGCGTCATCTAGAGAATATTGCAAACTTCCATTTATCGCACGAGTTATAATGCCCCTGAGTATCTCTGTTCATTTCTATTGTGCTACAAGTTGTCTACAGATCCTCTAGTAACCTTAGAACTCGGAGTGATATTCACTACTACAACACTAGAGTTGCTGTGTAAATTGAAACACCACCCTTCAACAACACTCTCCACTGGTTTCATTCGTACTTATCAGGTCGCAAACAGGTAGTTAAAACAACCGAGTGTTACTCTGCTTAATCTATCAAATGTGGTGTACCACAAGGATCGATCCTTGGCTCAATTTTGTTTCTTATCTACATAAATGCTTTTATAGATATAACGGCCACAATTACTCTCTTTGCTGATGACACCACTTTATTATGGCACAACAAGGACATTCCTACCCTTCAAGATGCCATCTCAGCTGACATCAACAAAATCAAAGAATGGTGCGACTGCAATAAGTTATCATTTAATATAAATAAAACTAGCATACTTATTTTCCACTGCAACTTACCTGAGATCTGCCTTGGTGACAAAATCTTAGACAGGGTACATAATTATAAATTTCTAGGGTTGAACATTGATGATAAAATGAAATTTAAAAATCACACAATAAACTTAAGCAAGAAGCTTGCCTCAGGTTGCTATGCACTAAGAGTGATTTCTAGAGAACTATGCTACTCCCATTCAAGAACAGCTTATTTCGCTCTAATAGATCCCCATATTAAATATGGAATTGCCTTCTGGGGAGTCTGTTCTAGAGATTTATTTCAAATGATTTTTGTGCTCCAAAAAAGGGCTGTCCGATATATGTGCAAAGCAGCTCCCAGGGATCCATGCAAGCCTTTTTTCATAGCTCACGGTATTTTAACAGTAGCTGCCCTGTTTATCTTGGAATCAATTTGCTTGATAAAAAAAATATTCTTGTGCATCTCCCCCTTCCTCATATAATACTCGTAGCCACAATAGTAACATAGATCTGCCTATTCCTGCGAGCTCCCTTAGTTAGGGATTCAATTATAGTCAACGGGATCAAACTGTTTAACCACTTACCAGCCCGAATTAAAGAAATTATAGTGCTTAACAAATTCAAAAAAGCAGTTAAAATGCTACTTGTTGATAGGGCCTATATTATTCAGTTCAGGAGTATCTTGACGATTAACTTGAATCTTAACTTTTATTTCTATGTCTTGTTATTTTCAGCTGAATATCTCAGTGTATTTCACATTTTTAGCTTATGTTTATTGTATTTTGTTTAAATTGTGTATGTTTTTTTTATGTAGATTTTTGTATCTTACATATTACATATTGTAGACTTTGTCTACAAGATGTAGTTCTTCAGACAATAAAGTATATTTGATTGATTGATCAAACTTTCTATAACTCAAAAAACTCCATTGAATCTCAATCTGTACAACATATTTACTGGGCAAGTAGAAAATCTTTCGAATGAATTCAAAAAAATGAAGCAATACCTCACCCATTCAATCAATAATTTTTGTTAGTTTAATGAGGAATAAATATGATGGAGTTCCTCAAGACAATAAAAGATTAATACAGCATCATTAATAACAATTGAGATTGTTTCTTTCTCCGCAGGTAGTCTCAGGATCTTTGTGGCGAGTGAAGGCCAAACTCGTTCTTTCTGATTGCGTAAAAGGCGATAACACCGAAATTGAAAAGTGTGGGGAACTTCAGGGTGCACAAAGCAAGATCTGTAACTTCGTAATTTGGAATCAACCTTGGCTGGAAAATGGTAGGAAGACGAACATAACTTGCGACGATGAAGACAAATCTTACTATCTTGTAAGAGGAAAGAGAAGCCTTCAAGGTAGTTTTGCATACAGATTTGGTTTTTCATCATGAAGAGGTATAATATAATTATAGAACTCAATGAAATTTCATTTACAGATTTGGACGATGACAAATCTCTGGATGAAGATTTGAATAATTTATTTGGATTATTTACCAAAACGTACAGAAAAACTTACCTGAACGCAATGGAGTATGATTTCCGTCTAAGGGTTTTCAAAAAAAATATCGACATTATTCGTTTGCTCAACAAATTTGAACAAGGTAGGATTGAACTGAAAAATGAAAAAAAGGTTGCGTGATTTAGAATTTTTCAGTTTGAATGATTGATTTCAATGTTTTCCCAGAAATTCAAAAGAAAGTCCTGTATTTTGGATCATTTCAGCTATTAATAAGGGGATATTGAAAATGAACAAAATAATTATTTCACAACCATAAGATAATATTGACTGAACCAGCCCAAAATATGCCAATTTTAAGACACTGATCGAAACCGTATTCTTTAGTTGTCTAATTAAGAAACATGCCGAGCTCAGCCTACCTACTATGTTATTAATATGTATCTCCCATGTCAACTTGCTATCCAGTGTTATTCCTGTGAATTTCACTGAGTTCAGTTCATGTAAGGAATGTCCATTCAATCTTATCAGATTATATTTTGACCCGGATTTAATGCGTCTTATAGGAAAAGATAATTCAGTATAGTACAAGATAGTTCTGTAAAAAATATCGTATGCTGCATTGGGACATGTTTCAGTTAAAAGATCGTGCCAATCTTCATTTTCTAAGAATGTTTTAAAGTTGGAGATATTGACTTCTGAAAAAATCTCTCTGGTATTTAAAAATATCAATTATTTACCGATCTTCACATTTGTGATCAGCGGACTGAAATACGCAACTTGAGCCCAAAAAACGAAATTCCACTTTTTTTAAGTAAAGAATTCCTTTCCCTCCGACAAAAATATTCTTGTTGTATTTCTCAGGATCAGCAACCTACGGCCTGTCTAAATACGCGGATCTGACTCAGGAGGAATTCTCGATGATGCACGGACTGCGCAGGGATCTACAGAACGAAAACGACTTGCCATTCCCTTCTGCGGAGATACCGGACATCGACATTCCCACCGAGTTCGATTGGCGCAAAAAAAACGCCGTCACCGAAGTGAAGGATCAAGCTAGCTGCGGCAGTTGTTGGGCATTCAGTACCACCGGTAACGTCGAAGGGCAGTACGCCATCAAGTATAAAAAACTGCAGACGTTTTCCGAACAGGAGTTGGTTGATTGCGACAAATTGGATGAAGGATGCAATGGAGGACTCATGGATAACGCTTACAGGTGAGACTTTTTTTGTAAGACGAATTGAATAGTCTACAAAGATTTTTTTACAAATACTTTGCGACTTTTTTGTTTTCTATCACATAGATAGAATTTGTTGTGGATTGGGGGAAAAAAATGTATTGAACATGTTGTTCGAATCAAAAAACAAGCACTTTTCTCAATCACTAGGAATGCAATATATTTCTCGGCGTGCGTTACACCAACCAAGTTGGGGTCTTCAGGAAATCAAGGAATCTAATTCATAACTATACAACTGGTCTCTATTTATATCTATAGTAAAACCAATAATGATTGAGAGTAAAGCGCGTTGTCATATCTAAATTTTACGTTACCAGTTTATAGCAGAATCAAAATATAGTAAGCAGTAGAGTTGTAGGTTGTGGCAAATTATAGATAATACACAATACTAGTACGATTAAAAGGTATTATTTATGACAAAAATCAGTAATGAGCTTGTAATGAGTAATACTTATACATTTCCTGATTACTGATCAGTTAAAATTCATTATTTTCTGTATAGTGTTAGATATTTATTACAACTAGTGGCAACGCTGTACGCAACGATATTTCTGTCTTTGTCACTTTACCGTAACTTCCATCTCATCGTTGCAGTCCTCACTAATGTACTTGCAGCCATG